CATTATGGTTTTATTTCCTACAAAATCGAGAGGGAGGCGTGAGAGAGAGAGGAACAAGAGAGTGAGAGAAAAAGTGGGGAAAAGAGATATATCTATATAGATATGAGCAAGGCTTGGTGTACAGCCTTTTTCATGTAGATATAGATTTTGTACAATTTTTTCATCTTGTCAAATCAACATTAATTATAGACACATCACACATATGAGATTTAAATTGTTTGTAGAGATAAAAAGTTTAAAAGTGATATTTTGCAAATATTATTAAAATGCAAAATTTCGAAAATACCAAATTTAAAAGTCACATGAGGTGCAATTTCCTGGATATAAATTTGACTTTATTTAGCATGCCATTCTTTTGAAGTGTATTAATTTTTGGGTTTTGCTAGTTCTACGTATTTTTTTGTACATAAAGGGATATGTAACACTCACATGGGGACAAAAATGTGAATGTTATGTATTTCTTTATGTACAAAAATTATGTGCAGCTAGAATTATCTTTAATCTTTTCCCTTGGTCCCCTCCAGGTGTTGTCTTCGCACTGTCAAATACACGGGAATACAGTTGGATCCGTTAACCCTCATTACTTTCTTTGGACCCTAATCCAAAAACCTGCTGGACCACTTTCCCTAATTATTGAATTTTTTCAAAAGCCATGTGAATATATGGTCACAAAAACACCTCCAGACTATATTTTCAATCATTACAGTTTGATTTTTTTATTGAGTTTTGATTTTTAATTCAGATCTGATAAGTTGAAAGAAAAAGAAGAACATCAAGAAATGAGGAGGATGGATTATTTGGCCATGAAAACTGATCAAGAATTGCTGAATGAAGATTTCAACGAACTGAAAATGGCTGCCAAGAAACTCATCAGTCATGCTGCAAAATTGGGTGGGCTAGGATTTGGGACTTCTTTTCTCAAATGGGTTTCCTCTTTTGCTGCCATGTGAGCCTTTTATTCTAATCTTGTTCCAGTATATGTTTTTTTGTGCGTGTTTGTATATATAATATATATTTCTCGAATTGATTGCTTGACATTTATTTGCTGTTTGGATTAAGCCCTGGAAAATAATGAATTTCCATTTAGTGGCTAATAAGACTGAAGATAAAGGTGGGTTTATTCAAGTTTGATACTATGGAGTTTTGTTCACTTTGATGATGTATAATTGGACTTGTATGAAAATTGTGAAATTTGATCTATTGGCATTTACAGGGTGAATTGTAGTTTTGGCAAGTCATGTTTGAAACTTGATAAATTCTTATATTTATAGCTTGTTGGGTAAGATAGGCAGTACAGTATGGACAGTATTAATCGTGTCCAATATGTTGTATCAAACAAGTCCTTAATGAACGAGTTACCATTTGGCTTCTTTTTCACTGTTTGCTAAGTTAATGTCTGGAGGTGGTAAATTATTATTCATACTGTTAGATCTTATTTTGACTGGTAAATCACAATTCTTTAGTCATAACATTTTCTAACCTGTTGTTCAGTTGAGGATTTTACAGTGTAAATTGAGGATTACTCCCATGAAAGACTTGGAAATGAGAATACAATAAAGAATTGAAGAGTATATAACAATTACATGAAAATAGTATGGTGTTCTGAATGTCTGATGGTGGCACAGAGTACAATGAATACATAAAGAATGTTAGGTATTAACACTCATCGAAAAATCCTGCTTAACGTGGAAAAGCCATTTTCAGGGAAATCTTTCAGCATCTCTCTTGACGAAAGATCATATTGACAGGCTCTAATAAAATGCTGAATCCTCTCTATACACAGTCTGGTTGTTACAACAGATTATGACTTCCTAATCAAATATGTAATTTAAATAATATAAGAGTTGAATCCGTGTGATCTATATAAAAATGAACGGTTAACGTATTGTGAAAGGTGATCCTCATGTGTCAAAGTACTTTTCTTACAGTCTCTTTAATCAATACTTGAAATGTGTACAATATTTGGACAGGTTTTGAGTAGAAATAACTGTTAAAAATAGTAACACAATCTAGAAAATAATATTTCTTCACTGAACAACGAATTAGCATCTGAAAGTTTCATATATTAAAACTCAATCGATTCTTTCCCTTTTACTTGTTTGTGATTCTAACTCAGATACTTGAAGTTATTCAACATTCAGAATAATGTCACTTTTTGCTGATTACCTTTATCAATCATCTTCAACACTTAAATGGATTACTAATGCTAGTTGGAAAATTATGTGTTTACCGCAGTTATTTATTGATCTTGGACCGGACGAACTGGAAGACAAACATGCTGACTGCTCTCCTAATTCCTTATATTTTCTTTAGTTTTCCTTCCATATTGTTCAACTTTTTAAGGTGATGGTCTCTACCTGGATACTGTTCGACTAGCCTTTTCTTGAGCAAAATCATTGTTCTGATTTAATACTTGGCATTGTGGTGTAGGGGAGAGGTTGGAAAATGGATTGCAATCATTGCAGTTGTTTTAAGGCTTTTCTTTCCCAGACATTTCCCAGGTAAACTTCTCGTATTATCTTCTGAAGTTTGAAAACTCGTGAGATTCAGTTTTACTGTCCATTAACAGCTTGTTGTTCCCGTTGATTATTTTTACTTCTTCATCACTGCTTTGTGTTCAACGGAAAAGCCAAGAGCACGTTCGGAATGGACAAGACTTTGTTTTCTTTTTCTTCTTTAATGATGTTGAGTACTCTATAGTCCGCCTTATCAAATAACCCATCAAGGAACCCAATTATTTTAGTTGGTGCCCTTCTCCTTTTAATGGTACATCTTTGTATCCGTTATCTAGTCAAGAAATTTTTTAGATTATGCACGAATAAATTCATGCAATTCGGATCACATTCTTCACATAATCTCTGATGATTGAAGATGACAAATACCTGTTCAATACTGTCTACAACCGTTTGTTAAATTATATTTTATATATGGTTACAGATTGGCTTGAGATGCCTGGTGCTTTGATTCTTCTTCTGGTGGTTGCTCCAAATTTCTTTGCTCATACTCTTAGAGATGGCTTGGTTGGCGTTGCTATATGTCTTGTCATTGGTTGTTATCTTCTGCAAGAACACATTCGAGCATCTGGTGGATTCCGTAACTCCTTCACACAAAGCCGTGGCATTTCAAACACAGTCGGGATTATTCTCTTGTTGGTATATCCCATATGGGCTCTGGTAATCCATTTTGTCTGATGCATCCTAGATTTGACGTCAACCATGCTTCGACCTCCTATTGTGTTAGTGAGGAACATTTGTCCACGTTGAATAATGTTTCATCACAAATATTCAATGTCCTTTTTTTTTTGTGCGTGTGTGTTATTTCTTGTCTTGACTGAGAAGAAAAACCTAGTAGGAAAAAGTCGCGAGTACAAGGAATTCTTGACAAAATTTCTACCGACTCTGATGTGGCCATAGATGATTGGATTTTTTATTTTTCAATCAATTCCCATCATGTATTGTCTGACAAAGTTTTTTGTCAAAAATTTTTGTGCTTGTAGCATGATTGAACCTAGTATCCAAAAATATAATTATTCTTGCAATATGATTTTGCTCTGATGTTTGAAGACAATTATGTCTTGTTTGGTACTGACGTACAGTGTAAATATTGGAGTAAGTGCATTTCTAAATTAAGCAGTTACATGTTGTTTCGCGCGGGTTCCCTAGCTAACAATTAAAAGGTGAGCAGACGATTGTGTAAGGGACAATCCTCTTGGAACANCTACCGACTCTGATGTGGCCATAGATGATTGGGTTTTTTATTTTTCAATCAATTCCCATCATGTATTGTCTGACAAAGTTTTTTGTCTAAAATTTTTGTGCTTGTAGCATGATTGAACCTAGTATCCCAAAATATAATTATTCTTGCAATATGATTTTGCTCTGATGTTTTGAAGACAATTATGTCTTGTTTGGTACTGACGTACAGTGTAAATATTGGAGTAAGTGCATTTCTAAATTAAGCAGTTACATGTACAAAAAATTATTCTTAAAAGCTTGAGACTTGGCTAGGCAATCGAATTGAACTAAACTGGCTAGTTGGTTCTGGAAATTATGCTTTGCCCCTAGTCATCAAGCGGCACCATGGCCCGTGCACCTATACCACGCCCCTGTTTGGTAGCTAAAATTCAGATTTTTAGCTAT